CAGGTCTGTGAGAACTAAGCAGCCATTGGAAGCAACTCTATATAGTTCCCTTTTTATTGAGAGAACTCTATAAACTATATAGGGTGTGTTTACTTCACATTAAAATTAGAAGTTTGGTTGAAATTGGAACGATGTGACGGAAAAGTTGAAAGTTTGTATGTGTAGGAAAGTTTTGATGTGATAAAAAAGTTGGAAGTTTGAAGAAAAATTTTGCAACTAAACACAACGATAGTTGATATATGTATATCTTTAGCCCTAAAGTAAATGCTATTTGCTAGTGCACTAAAGCCCTAAGCAAAATGGCTAATTGATGACAAGGCTGGCCACTCCTGCTAGATGGTCCAAAGGAGCTTGAGATCGAGCTTGTTAATGGAAGCCATGAAGTCGATCGTACTGTAGCCACTAGCTTGTATGCGCCAGTCCTGTGTCATGCATAAGTCAGCCAAGTGCAGTAATCCTTAACAGAGTCTTAATTATACTCCCTCATTCCCTAAATGTTTAACACCGTTGACTTTTTTAAATATGTTTGACCGTTCGTCTTATTCAAAAACTTTTATGAAATGTGTAAAACTATACGTATACATAAAAGTATGTTTAACAATAAATCAAATAATAGGAAAAAATAATAATTACTTAAATTTTTTAAATAAGACGAACGGTCAAACATTTTTAAAAAGTCAATGGCGTTAAATATTTTGGGATGGAGGGAGTAGATTGGAAGATTAATTAAACTGGATTTGGCAGAGGCGGTTCCTGTTTAACTTCAGTATTTCTTTTTTTCTAGACCAAGTCACACTGGAGGGGAGTTTAATTTCAGCAGTTCAGCATAAGACCCCATGCAGTTTTCAGAGTTTCAGTTTCGATCGGTGTTTGATGTTGTTCCAATGTTCTTGTCTGGAATCCAAGTAATAATTGACTATAGCTCGATTAAGGTTCAAAAACTAAGTAAAATACATTAAGTGGAAATCAATCACCAAGATTAATTTGGTCCAATCGTTTGTTGGTACCACACACATTCCATATGCACAAGGGGCATGCCAGTCTTATATTAACTTTTGTAGAAGCTAGACAGCTAGTGGCTCCGGTAGTTCAAGTGTAGCACTCGCAAATATGATCATCATCATCGCCACAAAATTATTTATCGTGCGCTGCCACTGGTGATCAGGGCATGATCGAAGCATGGGGCATGGATTTTAAACGCCCCACGGGATGTCTCTTTGCTCTTTACGTGTTATTTAAATAGTTATAAGAAAAATTAGTAGTATAGATTAATATGTGATATATCACTCTATAATCATACAAGCTAAAAGTCGACTTCTACAATTTACAATAAAAAGATAAATTAAATTATAACTAGTTAACGTATATTTGTAGTTAAATTTGTTTCTTTTTGCAACTTGTATAATTTAATTTGATTTTTTTATGTTTGTAGAGTTATCTATTATATAGTATTAATTTATGTTGTTAATTTTTTTTGAAAAAATATATAACCATTTGAAAACAATCCCCAAGAATAGTTTCTCTTGACGCATGCTTATGCATTGCTTAGGTAATTAAGCAAGCTGCACCGGCAAGAAGCATGGGGAGGCCTACACCCAGTCGTGCGCGTACAGGAGCGGCATTGACGCCAAGCTCATGCAGGGGCAGAGCTATAATAAAATGGAGGGGTTCCAGTCGTTTGCTTTACTCTCGTTTAAATCAAATTTAGCTTAATACGAGTGAAGTTTAAACTAACAGGGTATATATGGTAAAAATAGATAAACTATAGTTAATATTTTTTTAACCAGGTTCCTGGACACCCCCAGCTATACATAGCTCCGCCCCTGTGCTCATGCTCACTTCACGTGTACTCCCTTCGTAAAAAAAAATGTCCAACCTAGATTAAGATGATATAACCTAATACAATGAATCTGAACAACCATCTGTTCACATTCATTGTATATATCATATCTTATTTAAGTTAGGTTTTTTTTGACAGAGGGAGTAAGCACGTGCCATCATACGTGTGCCAATGTAATAAATGAGAGTGATGTTCATGTCAACTCTGGTCAAGTGTCTAAATTGTTTTAGAAACTAGATGATGTCCCGCGCTTTGCTGCGGGATATATGTTATATAATGGAGAAATGATGAAATGATTTGGATTGAAATATTATGAAAATGATTTGCGAATGGTGATTTAGCATGTGTATGTTTAGTTTTACAATGAAATAAATTGCTGATATGATTACTATATGCTTACATGTTGAGCTTTATGTATTTAATAGATTGATGTGGCATCCTTGCATGTAGGTTTTAGGAATGCTAATAAATACTATGCTTGCATGTTGAGCTTTATGTGCTTAGTGGTCATTAGGGCATGTACAACGGTCTTTATTAGTAGTCTCTCTCTATTGCCATACAAGTAAATTTGATGACATGGAAGAAAGAGAAATGAGTATAGTTGTTATGCATGACAACAGCTCAGAGTCGACTCTTAGCATTTATTAGAGCAAATTTTATTGCATGGTGGTGAAAGGAAGGAAAGAAGAGTAAGAAAAAATATTTGAATACATTAATGATTAGAGACCATACTGTCTCTAACTGTTGTAGGATGCTAGTCTTTAGATAACGTAGAGCTTATATCTGACTCTAACTTTGTACATGGCCTTAGCTTTATAGAAAGAATAGATGTTATGATATTTGGTAAAATATCTTGAGTTATCTAAATTTATAATAGAAATATTTAGATATCTAATATTTAAGGTATGAAATGTTGTATTATAACATACATGGATCGTAAAATTACCTAAAGTGATATCCTTAGATTGTCTCAACTTCATCCTCGTGTATTCTCGGGCCCTGTTCAATCGTTTCCTTTCAAGGCATGGTCGAATGGTTATATTGCTAGGATACTCCAATACAGTCGGTAGCATCGTGAAACAATATAGATGTTGTTAGTTCGTCCACAAATAGAAGTACCATATACAATTTTATTATGCAAGTTCCGTATACACCAACTAACATGGCGGGTTTCACTAAAACTTTGAGAGAATATTTTGCACGTACTTTCAATTTCAATAATATTACATCTATCTATAAAGTATAATTTCAATTTCATTATATTTTAGCAAGATAAAATTCTAATAGATATGTTACTTTTTTTATGGCTAAAACATAACAAATATGAAGTTGGTACTTAATTTATATGTGTATGCAATACTATTGAAAATACATGTATATTGTTTATATAATTTTTTATGATATATATTATCTGGTGGGTACATAGTGTGTAAATTTATGTGTATATACGATACATTCCCCCACAAATATAAGCATTTATATGAGCTTTAGCAGAGAATAATGTTTAGCATTTACTAGTAGGGGAAAATCCCACTCGAAATGTAGCATTTATAATAAAATGTAAGAAACAATGGCATATGATTTGATTCTGTTTTGTTTTGTCAGTTGATTTTCTCTCAATGTATCTATCTTCTTTCACTTCCCTCGGATGCTTGGCTATTATTTTTTATACTCTTTGGTGCTTTCATGTCCACGAGCCTCCCTAATTTCACCACCATCATCTTTAATTTATATGCCTTATCTCGCCTCACCTATCCCCCCTGTATCTGGCAGCTCATGTGCCACACGTCTACTAGCCACTCCGATGAATCGTCTCCGTCTCCAACATCGACTCAACGCACTCCTCTATCCCCATGGCAATGTTGGGCTATAGTGGCACCGCTGGTGCATAGCTGCCCACCGCTTGCTAGCCACTCCGACGAATCACCTCTGTCTCCAACATTGATCCAACGCACTCCTCCAGCCCCATGGTATTGGTGGGTTCTGGCGGCACCGCTAGTGCATCGCCATCCACTGCTAGTCGTCCCTTAAATCCCCACCCCCTCCCCGAAATTCAATGGCTAATGTAATTGACTGATGTTTTTTACAATTAACTGCTGAACAACAAAGGTAAAAATTTAAACGCTATAAATCTTATATTGCTGGATGAAGGGAGCAATATATAATAATAAATAAATATGAGAAAATTCGATTGGTAGCATAGGTATTGTCCGAGTAAAATAATAGCACAAGAAACTTGTTTCTTCGCCTGAAAGCACAGCTCTGTTAGAGATTTCTAAAATTTAGCACTTCCGTCCACTAAAAAGACCAAAAAGAAAACCCTTAGGTCAATTTCTTCTTCCTCCTCCTTCCAGTCCCTCACTGCATACCTCTTCCCCTGTTCATCGCTTGCCTCTTGTCTCTTATGCATGACCGAGACACCACGCATAGGCAAGGTCCAATTTGTAAAATTTAAGTTTTTATCTTACATGTGTATGGTGGTTATTGAAGTTGAAATTGATTAGTTTTTAAGGAGTATATGGTCCTTGCAATTTTTGGTCATGCTCACATCTTCACCTAGCAATAAGCCCTAGCAGCCGTTGCAAGCAAGTCGGCCACTGCCAGCGTTGAGCTCGACGGCTTAAACAAGCTGCTAGCTACTCGTATTCCCTAACCCTCAGCCAGTCGCCATCTTCAAGCAACCACCAGCCATCGTTGTCAACAACATTGAAATAGCAGTTGCGGCGCATGGTCGCGCAAGCCTGCCGTCGTCGCTATTTTCATGGCGTGCGCAGCCTCTAGTCCAAGTGCTCTAGCGCAAGTGCCCAACCTAGTCATGTGTAAATGCAGAGAATAATATGGACAAATTGATCTTTCTCTGTCCCTACTCATGGCGAAAAACTTTGATTAGACCTGTAGTTGTGACGGAAATACAACGGATAAAATAAAAACAAGTGGAATATACTTCTGATCGAAGGTGGGAATTTTGTGTGCTATTTTTTGGATACCGACATGTTTTCTATGTTATAGATCGAATTTTCTCAATAAAAATATAATACAAGAGGAAGGGTAATGGACCAAGTATTGAGAAATAATTTTTCTAATAACATGAAAACTACCCATACGACGTATGTATCCTCGAGCTACAGATACGCTGGTCCTTGGAATTTTTTTTAAAAAAGAAATCCAAACATTTCAGTAAAATTCATCTAAAATTTCTTCCAAACACATCACTCCGGCGCCCCCTGATTTCTCCGTTCGCTCGCGCCGCCTTCCGCCGGAGTAAGCTCTCCGCCGCCGTGAACTCGCCGTTCTTCCCGCCGCCGTCCTCCTCCGCTTCCTCCTCCCCTACAGTGGACTGGCGTGGGGTGGAGATCCCCCCTATCCATCCCGACCGACTCCTTTCCCCCGGTGAGGAAGCCCTAGCTCGCTCCGAATCCGCTCTCCCAATCCTCTTCTTCGCGGTGAGGTAATCCAAACCCGAATTGCTCTGCGGTGAACAGGAATCCGGCGCCCTCGCTGGCGGCGGCGGCGGCGGAGTTGGAGGCGATGGACATCTACAATGTCGAGGCCGCCGAGATCCTCGCCAACGAGGCCCAGGTGAGCTCTCCCCCCTCCCCCCGATTCGCCTCGCTTCGCGACCGAGTTCACTTGAGCTGGGTTGCACTGACGAGCTCACCACGGTGTTGCGCGCTTGCGCTCCGCTCCGCTCCTTCCTTGTCTCCAGCTGCTCCCAATCGGCGAGGCCGCTCCCATCTACGAGAAGCTGCTGTCAACTTTCCCCACTGCCGTGAGTCCAGTTCGATTTCGACTCGATGTTTTGCTTGCTTTGGGGTTGCATCGTATATCTATATATAGGTTCGTCTGGTTCATCTAGTGATGCCATTTCACTTGGCTTCACCTGCTATATGTGTATGTGCAGGCGAAGTACTGGAAGCAGTATGTCGAAGCTTACATGTCCGCGAAGGATGATGAGGCCACCAAGCAGATATTCAGCAGATGCTTGCTCAGTTGCCTTCAGATTAATCTCTGGTGAGTGGAGGCCATATTTGGAGATTGTACATTAGGCACACGTTGTAGTATGCATATGTGGGATGTGTTGAATAAATTGCTTTACTGTCATTATGTGAATTATCATTGTTATCGCTGGTTGTGTCACTGAACTATATTCCTACCGTGATATGTGTGGTTTGGGATTGAACTTCTGTGTCAAATCATGCATGTAAATCATCAAATTCCTAAGCAGTCTCTGCTCATTTAACCTGATGGTCTCATTAGCCACTAGTTCCCTGTTATGTGATCTCATTTGTGATTGTCTGCCTTGTTTTTGTTGCTCTTAGTTTTGCCTATTCCCTTGGATCTAGTATTAGTATGTTTTCAAGTGCATCATTAACATTTCCCTATTTGTCTGGGTGTAATTTGCAGGCGTTGTTACATCAACTTTATCAGGAGAGTGAACGATAAAAGGGGTTCTGATGGTTTGGAAGAGACCAAAAAGGCTTTTGATTTCATGCTGAACTATGTTGGTAAGTAGGCACTTAATTATATCTAGTGCCTGGTGATGATGTGACTTCCTAAGTACATTTTTTTAACATAATTTTGCTAAAAAAAATATGGCGTCACATATTTGGCTTGATTTCAGTCACTTTTTTTTCACTGCATTATTGATAACTACCCTTTATATTACATGTAACTATACTTGTATTTCTCATCTCTCTTTCTTATTGACTTTTGTGTTTGTCCTTCTACTTATGTGTTAATTTGCACTAGTACCTTTTTCAATGATTCAAATAGATGATCAACCTTTTTCGTAGTTCTCTTATATAGGGAATGATAAAAATATAGAGTGTAAGATTTGAAAATTACACTGTAAATATATGAAAATTACATTGCAAGATATGGAATTTACAGTGTAAATACTGGCTGAAAGGTTTGACTGTTTTTTGGTGAAAAATGTGGTGCCATAAGTATAGATAATCCCTCTTTGTTTTTTCTTTAACTTGGACACTTAAACTTTCCAGGCAATGATGTTGCTTCTGGCCCTGTTTGGATGGATTATATTGCTTTCTTGAAGTCAATGCCGGTTTGTTTTCTTCCTTCTTGTTTCCTGTCCTTCCCCATGTTAACATTCATCCCTTCTATTATTCTGTGTAAATATTTCTTTGCATACTCTTCAGGTTGTGACACCGCAGGAAGAATCACATCGTATGACTACTGTACGGAAAGTATATCAGAAGGCAATTTTAGTTCCAACTAATCATGTGGAGCAGCTATGGAAGGATTATGAGAATTTTGAGAATTCTGTTAGCCGCACCTTGGTAATTGTAGTTTCCATTTGAATCTTTGATCTTTGTGAAAATTAGCTAGCAAACGACTCTAATCGCTGTCTGGTAAAACATATGGTGCTGTAGTTCTTCATGAACATGACACTTGCAGATTCAGTGCATCCTCATTGTATCAATAGTTCTAGTATTTCTGTTAGCAGGTTTCATCTTTTACTTTGTTTTCAAAATTAATATTATCAAATCTAAAACAATGTAACTGGGTTACATTTGATTCATATGGAGTTGTTGATTATCAATCTGTATTCCAGGCAAAAGGTTTGTTATCGGAGTATCAGCCAAAGTTTAACAGTGCCAAAGCAGTATATAGAGAGCGTAAGAAATACATTGATGATATTGATTGGAACATGCTGGCAGTTCCCCCCACAGGCTCCTACAAGGTAATCAGTAAGTGAGGTTCTAACATTGCTTTACACCAGGCATTGATCGAACCTACATATGTTAACTCCACAGTTTTTTTTTTTGGGGGGTGGGGGGGGGGGGGTGGGGTGGGGGTGTCCTGCATACTTACTTTCCATGCGTTGGCTGTACTTTTGTAATCACATAAATTACAATTGGCATAAAATGTTATTCCTACTTTCTCGTTGTCGTTTGATGGTGGATGATTGAAAACAGAACAATGTGATTTTTGTAGAAAAACATGATAACAGAGGTTTTTCTTTGAGTACATTTTCATTCTCGAATTTTAATGATGCTTCTTTTCCAATTGCTGGCAGATTCTACATTTTCTTTAAACCATATAGCTGCTGAAGTTCTAATAACCAATGAACCCCTTTTTCTTAATTATCAGTTGCATTCTAGCAGCAGAAGTTTATTTGCTGTATATTTCAAATTATGTGATTAATATTGAAAAGAGATGGTTCATTGTATTTGTGTCTGTATGAGAGAACCAAATGAAACCTTCTGTCCGTAGTTTGTTCTATACTTCTATATTTGAGCACAGATTACATAGTGAACTCTTCTTATGACTTAACACTAGTGTCTTTCACTGGAGGCCTGGACACAGTTTGTTGTTTGGTTTACTGGTCAAGCTTTAGACACATTGGGTATTTTCCTGTCAATGTCTCTCCAGCATTATAATTTAAAATACTATGCTTATTTTTGTTATGTACTCTGGTAGATGCAAATGACCAGTATTTAACTGGCAGGTAACTCATTAAGTTATTTCACAGGAAGAGCAACAGTGTATGGCATGGAAAAGACTTTTGGCATTTGAAAAGTGAGTAAACATATGCATGATCTAATTCATTAAGAGTCACGGTATCTCTTTGCTGTAGTTATATAAGCTAATCTTTGTTTTCATGTTCTTTTTCTAAAACCCTGTCCCAACCAAGTAAAATTGTGTATGCTTCTTGAATTTATTCAATAACTTGAGCCTCACTGGTCACTACCTGGTGCAATTAAGCATATGAGTTTTTCACCAGCCTTCAGGCCCTAGGAATTCTTGTTTCCTGCTTAATTTCTAACTTGCCTATAGCTCAGAAAGACCGAAACTATCCCTTCAAATTCAAAATATGTTCCATTGCAGGGGGAACCCTCAGAGGATTGATGCTACAACTGCTAATAGGCGTGTTACCTTTACATTTGAACAAGTAAGCCATTTTCTTCCTGTATGCTTAGATCCACAGTGATTTTTGGCTTTGTAACTATGCTTTGCACAATATTATTTATAATTCTAGTTGCACACTCCTATCCTTTGTGATTGTGTACTAAGTTTATGATATTCCGTGTAAGTGCCACTATGTTTTGGAGATGAAACTGTTTGGTTGCTTTGTTTTTATTTTCAGTGTTTGATGTATCTATACCATCATCCTGATATATGGTATGATTATGCCATGTGGCATGCCAAGAATGGTTCTGTGGATTCTGCAATTAAAATATTTCAACGTGCTGTAAAGGCACTCCCTGGTAATAAATATTCCTGTATCCCCCTCCAATTGTAACTTTTGTTTTGGAGTAAGTCTCTGGCAATATGGTTGCCATAAGCCCATAGGAGTCAACATTTTATGCCTAGCATGTAACCTTGTCTCTTTTTTCCCCTCATATTTGCTAGTCACTTGCTGTTTGTGTCTGTGTGACAATTCTCCTCTTTAAATTTCAATCATATTGAGCATGCAACAATATTCAATGGTGATAAAGTGTTTCGGTTGCTAGTAGGGGGTGTTGATTGGATAAAAATGAATCGGACGGTTTTGTACAAATCAAATAATCTGAGTATGGTTTTCAGATAAAATGGAAAATCAAGACATTTAGATTTTTTTTTCATCCACATACTCTGGATATGAATGCAAGATGAACGTACAATCCAGATAAAAATTGACATTTTAGTATTCTACTTGCTAGGCCTTGTTGCACTTGTTTGTGAAATCTACAATAGCATTTTCTAATCTGGACTTCAACTTAATTCTTCCACATTTTTTCTTCATAGATTCAGGAGTACTAAAGTATGCCTTTGCTGAACTGGAAGAGTCTAGAGGAGCAATTCAGGTCAGATAGCCTCCTTTTTGCTACAGCTACAGCTACGCTAAAAATGATTTTGTTTTCTACTTTTCTCAAATACTCCTTCAATTGCATTGCAGCCTGCTAAAGCAATATATGAGTCTCTTATAGCTGAGAATGCGGGAATGACTTCACTTGCACATATTCAGGTGAGTTGCTAACTTGTTATTACTTTTGGCATACTTAGATTATTGCTGTAATGTATGTGAGAGCTTTAGCATTCTGGTTTTCTGTTGTAGTTTATTCGATTTCTAAGGAGAACTGAAGGCATTGAAGCAGCTCGTAAGTACTTTCTGGATGCTCGGAAATTGCCAGGCTGCACTTATCATGTCTATGTTGCTTACGCTACAATGGCATTTTGCCTTGACAAGGATGCAAAGGTTGTGAAAGGAATTATCTTGATGTTTTTTAATATAAAAAATGCAAACATGGTTTTTAGGTTATTTATCTGTTTTTATTTTTGCATTAGTTCATCTGCTACAATTCTGTTCCAGGTAGCCCAAAGTGTTTTTGAAGCTGGTTTAAAGCGATTTATGCATGAGCCAGGATATATCCTTGAGTAAGTTCTCACTTCCAGGCTCATTGATATGACATTTTGGTATGCTATCTTCATAAATTAACAGTTGGGAAAGGTTTCTTGCACTTTTTTTGCTTTACTTAAGAGATATGAATCAAAGTTTGTGTTGTTGGGACTGGTGCAATGATACAGATATGCAGACTTCCTGTGTCGCTTAAATGACGACAGAAATGTGCGTGCTTTGTTTGAGCGAGCTCTGAGCTTACTTCCTCCTGAAGAATCTATAGAGGTAGAGTTTCTATTTCATTCTCTAGCGAAAGGTTCTCAAAATTGATATAAATCACAACTCATGAGTTGCAATACATTTTCTGAGAATGGTAAGTATTGCATCGGAGCCTTTTAAGCAGTAGCAAATTTGCACTTATGTATGACCCTTTTTTTCCTCCTTTTAAGTTATATACTTGGATTTTTGTTTTAGAGAGATGCAAAATGCAATAACTTTTGTGCATTAGTTACAGTTAGCTTCCATGACAAAGGGGAATACTGCAGTTCAGTTAAAATTAGTTAGGTGTAATTAGCTTCCATGGCAAAGGAATATAAACACTTTTTTTTATGTTGTCTGAGTAATGCACGTTGCTATTATCTTGTAGGTGTGGAAACGATTTGCTCAATTTGAGCAAACATACGGGGATTTGTCAAGCATGTTAAAGGTATGAGGCTCATAATTGTATGAATCTAGGCAAAACTTATATATATGTTACCATTGCAGGATAGAATAATCCATTTTGCAAAGGCATACTTGTGTTAAAATTTATGTGCTCCATGGTTGTGCCTTGGACTTGCCAAGTTGCCATCTGTGACATAACTTACAGCACTTATTAAAAACCTTTTACATAGTATCGGGGCAAGACAATGTCAAGTATGGTAGAAATACTAAGCTGCTGCTTGGTTTGGTCAGTTTTGGAACAATAATTACACATTGTAAAATCTTGAAACCACATTGTGGGCATACAATTTTTTTTAATCTTCTGACTGTTTTTGTATTGATCTCACCCAATTTATTGTATTGTGATCCTTTAATGACTTTATATTGTGCTTGTTGCAATGGAATTTGTGTATTTCCTGCTTTCCTAATAACAGCTCATGCACAATTGGATTAGGATGTGCATGCTTTATATATATTTAGCCTTATTTAATTTGACTTTGGAGAAAAATATTTTTTCCCTCATTCCTTGCTCTAAATTATGTTTTCTCAGGTGGAACAAAGAAGGAAGGAGGCTTTATCTAGGACATCCGAAGACGCCTTATCTGCCTTGGAAAACACACTTTATGACGTTGTTTCTCGATACAGCTATATGGATCTTTGGCCATGCTCAACCAAAGAATTGGATTATCTATCAAGACATGAGGTTTGCACTATCTCAAATATACAACTACCTTGCATATTTCATCCGAAGCAAATGTAACAAGCTCATATTTGGAACTCACAGTCAAGCTCAATTTTAATGCATCTACGTACAAGGCTTAGCGTTACTCTTGCTTTCCCTTGTCTCTGCTCTGATGCCACTGGCTGTTGGACTTAGGACTTAATATAAACCATACCAAGTAATTATCTAAAAGGATATGCTCATGTATCCCTTGGCAGTTCTTGTGCGAGATTGTGAGAACATTCATAAATAGAAAGTCGGAATCTATTTCATGTTGCAATTTTGAGATATCTCTCTTGAGTCAGTCCTTAATATTTCAGTCTACTTGAAAATGCTTTATTTTTTGCTACTTAATGTTTCTGATGCAGGTTTTTACATTGTAACAGTTTGATTTCCATTGAAAAATCTCACTTGTAACGCTTTCTTGATGTCAATACCACAGTGGCTTGCAAAAAACATTGCTAATAGGGGTGACAAATCAGTTGTGCTAACTGGCGGTGCTACTTTAGGTAAGGTTTTTTTGTTCTGTCTGCCATCATGTCAATGTAAATACTACTGGAGTTGCTAATTATGTTTGCTGGTTGTTTGGCTAAGATAAAGGTGATATCCGAGTTGGTTCCAATAAAAAGTCGTTCCCACAATCTTCAAAGGTTGTTCGTCCTGAGATTTCTCGAATGGTTATCTATGATCCTAGACAGATGAAAGGTATACAAATCAGTGTTCTAAATATTTCCATATTCCACATTTGTCCTAGATTCCCTTGGTGATGAAATAGTAGTACCACTCTTGTATCATTTGTCTTGATCAGATATTGACACCTAATAATGCAGTATGCAGAATTTCAGATAATCATGAGTCAACTCGTAATCTGTGTTTAGGTATAGCTGCCAGCCTACACTGCCTAATGCTTGGTCAAAAAATTATTATCACTTGGTTATCTCATTTAATTGCTACCATGAACATCTAATCTGCCAATTGCATAATGTTACTTGATGGGATTGACAACTTTTTTTTTTCATAGTTTGGGCTGCAAATGCTTCCAGCCATTCCATTCAGACACAATTGTCAACTTTTCTCACACATAAAATATCATTGTTTATTTTTGTCAGGCCCAGACTTCTCAACCACAGCCAGTGGGTATACAAAGGAGATTGATGAAATATTGAAAAGACTTTCTCCACAGATGATGTCTTTCATCACAAATTTGCCTGCTATTGAAGGTATGCCTCAGGATTGAGCCACTTTATCCAAACTAAAAATACAACTTTCTGCAATTGCTAGTTCATGTGGTATATGTAATTAAAAACCGAAATGAACTAGAATGGCTCCATGTCCCCACTTTATCCAAACTAAGAACTTGCACTCCGATGACCCAAGTACTCACTGTCCTCTGATCTGTAGCCTCCTAGTTGTGTGCCAGATGGTATCGGAATCATTAGGAGCAAAGCTTAAATGAGATCCTGTTGCATACCTTTTTCCTGTAGTGTATTTGCTGGAATGTTTGACAGTTTAAAGATTGCAATGTTCAACATCAGGCATAGCATAACTGATTGAAAATACTACATGACTTAGAAGTCGCAGCAGTTCTTTCAGAAAAGTTTTTTTCATATGTATATTAGCATATTGTTAGTCCTTTATTTACTGTTCTGGGATTCCATTTGCATGACATGAACAGCTGCATATATGTTTACTGATAATCTTTGAGTACCTGATCTTTTTGTTGCTGTTTGATATCTTGAATTTAAGTTGCTGAAGTATCGCTAAGGTCAATGTTTTTTTCATCTTGATAGGGCCATCACCAGATATGGATATTGTGCTAAGCGTGCTGATGCAGAGTACATTGCCAGTGGGAGACAAACCAGGTTCGCAAGTTCCTGGTCCTGCCACGAGTGACCTCTCAGGTCCTGGCAAATCAGGATTGAACCAGAATGGATCCATCCATAGACCTCCAAGAGACGGGCAACCCACGAAGCGGAAGAACTCTGAAAGTACCGTCTCTTATCTTCAAGCTATCCTAGACAAACTTTTATGATCTACCTACAGATATATGATACAATTGGATCAACTATAGGACCTGATAATCATCAACTTGTGTGCAGGGGGGCGAGCACAAGAGGAGGATGATACGTCGACAACAGTGCAGAGCCGAGCAATGCCGCGGGACATATTCAGGCTTAGGCAGATCCAGAGGAACCGCGGGTTGGGCCCTTCCCAGTCAGGATCAGCGGCACTGTCCAGTGGAAGTGTGTTCTCTGGAGATCAGTCAGCCAGCTCAGGCTAGTTCAAATTTACAATTCTATGTAGCGTCATATATCCTGATAGGGTTCTACTACAATTCTATTATAGAGTATAATTCATATCTAGGTAGGGTCTAGTTTAGTTAGGTCCCCCCCTGATGAAAGATGTATGCATAATTGCATGAGTGATGTTGGCGCGTAAATGTGTTTGTTTGACTGAAAAGGAAACGGTTTGCGATGACCACACGCAAGTTGGGAATGAGCAGTCGATATCATTTAACATCGTACCATTTGTGATGATGGGTACCACCTTACCATGTTCAAGTTGTTCTATTATACTCCTATATACTAGATTATGATGTTTTGTCCCATTCTTTATTTCCCTGCCTAGCAGGTAACTCGTTTTATTATGACCTATATTAAAACTAGAAAATGGATTTTGTAACTTATGTTGTTATTTTCTCTTGCTTATTACTCCCTGATATGCTTGTGCATGTAAAAAAATAAACATAAGACCGTCGTTGGAATGAAGAAAGTTTGCTGGAATTTCACGAGAATTCAACTATGCCAAAAAATTCCTGTATTCCAAAGGCGCTTTAAAAACAATCGTCTGGTTCAATTCCACTGAATCTTATTCGAATTCGTTGCAGATAGTGTTGTTGCGAGAAATTTTGTTTCAAAGATCCTACAGAACCATTTCATCGTGATGCGACTCATTTGGCCCATGCACTATCCCAACACAAAACCACAGAGTAAAAAAACTTATTTCCATTGCAATCTACTGCTGCTCAAGATATTCTTTTGTAACCATTTTGGTTTGCAATTTGGTGGTCCATTTATTATTCAATAGAGCTACTAGTAGGAAACTTGGAATGATCAAAAGAGACTCAAAAGATTACATATTTCTAGAGAGAAGTGAATTCCAACAGTTGTAAAAAGGACACGAGAAGAAGAAGCAAGAAAGCGAGGTGTCCAACTACGCATGCATGCAGCGCCACCGTCCGGCGGCTCACCGGCCGCCGCCGGGGCCGCCGCCGCCGCCGCCGTTGATCTCTACGGGCGGCCAGCGGCGGCAGGCGGCGACCTGGTCGAGGAACTTGGCGAGGCGGGCGTGCTTGGCCGCCCACTGCTCCGCCATCTTCTGCTCCTTGGCCTCCGCGTCGCGGCGGAGGCCGGCCATCTTCTCCCGGTACTCCGCCTCCACCCGCTCCACCGCAGCTGCCTGCTCCTCCCTCAGCGCCCTCATCTTCGCCTCGAACTCCTCCGTCGCCTCCCGCCGCCGGCACGCCCTCTCCGTCTCCAGCTGCATCTCCACCCTCTTCATCCTCCACGCCGCCTCCTTCCTGTGCGCCGCCCACGCCCTCTGCCCTTCCTCCATCTCCCTGCAACAATAGATGCGAGTCAAGCGACGACACATAAAAGAGGAGATCCAATCGATGATAGTGGGTCAAAGAAGACGAATGAGATGAAGAAATCCCCCATTTAACGCCGTTAACTTTTTAATTATATGTTTAAATATTTGTTTTATTAAAAATTTTTGTGAAATATGTAAAACTATATGTAGTATACATATAAGTATATTTAATAAATATAAGTAAATGAATGAAATGATAGGAACAAAATTAATAATTAATTTTTTAAAAAATAAAATGAGCGGTTAAATATTTTTTTTTAGAAAAATCAAAGAGTATTAAATATTTAAAAACGTAGGGAGCAAAAGATTTCAAGCACCTGCAACACTCCATCAACTCCGCCACCACCACCTCCCCTCCTCCACCACCACCCCACGTCGGCGGCGGCGCCGCAGGCGCCGGCGCCACCGCCGCCGACGCGAGGCTAAGCGTCACCGACGGCGAGGAAGAAGACGACGGCGACGACGACATCCACGGCGGGAGGATCGGGGCAGCCATCATTCGGCGGTGGTGGTCGTTGACGAGCTTGTCGGCGAAGTCCTCGAGGAGCCAGTCGTATCGCCCGCCGGCGCAGCCGCGCTCGTCGCCGTCCAGCGGCGGCGGGAGTCGCCGGCGATCCCGATCCCGGAGCTCCCGCTGCTGCTTCTCCTTGAACACCTCCCACCACTTGCCCAGCCGCTTCGCCGTCCGGCCGGGGACCTCGGCGGCGATCTTCTTCCACTTGTTGCCGTGCTTGGCCTGGAGGCGGATGACGAGGCGCTGCTCGTCGTCGGTGAGCGAACCTTTCTTGATCCCCGGGCGGAGGTAGTTCTTCCAGCGCTCGAGGCAGGACTTGGCGTCGCGGTGGAGGGGGCGGTTCATCCGCTGGGACACGAGGCTCCACTCCCGGGGCCCATACTGGCGGACGTAGGCGAGGAGGATGGCGTCTTCCTCAGGCCGCCACCGCTGCCTCTCCCTCATCGGCGGCGGCTGCATCGGTGTTCGCCATCGCCGACCATCCCAGCTCGGTGGTGCGAGTACTCATGCTGCTCTCCTGCACCCGCGCGCCGCCATTGTCGTGAGAAGTCATGCAAGATGAAGAAGAAGAAGAAGAAGATCACTTCTTTAGTTAGCTACCAAGAGAGAGGATTGTAATCGCTCGGTTGGATGTTCGCCCGTTTATTGAAAAAAAATTCAGAAAAGTTGATAAGATAGATTAATATGAAATATATCACCCCACAAACATGCAATTTTAAATTCGACTTCTACAAGTTATAACAAAATTAATAAATTCATTTGTGAATATGCATATACTTATTGGAGTTAAATTTGTTATTTTTGTTACAATTTATAGAAGTTGAATTTAAACTTGTATGTTGGTGGAGAGGATTGTAATCGCTCGGGTGGATGTTCGTCCATTTATTGCATGTCAAATAAATAATATAAAAAAATTAACGAGATAGATTAATATGAAATATACAAGTTATAACAAAAAAAACAAATTCATCTGTGAATATACGTGTATTAATTATTCTTTTTATTTTTTTTTTCATATTCATTTTGTTCACATGCAACAAATGAGTAGATATCCACCTAAGTGATTAAAATTGTTTCTCGTGATGCAAAATATATATAAAGGAGTAAATTTCAGAAAGCTGTAGTTATTTGGTCAAAGGTATCGCTTTTCTATAAGATTAAGGCGAACATTTCGCAAAACTGTTGTAACTATATCAAACGATTTTATCATTAAACTGCAAGTTCTGCAACTGTAACCAGTTGTGCGTGCGTGTGAACTTGGCATGTATGCATGAGTATGACGTGTAGCAAATTGATAGTTTTGACCCAAATAGTTGTAGATTTCTGAAATTTACTCAAATAAAAAAAAAAGATCATTTCTTTAGCCTGTTTGCAAGGCTCGTCTATTAGTAGCAAAGGTGAAATCTTCATCCAAATAGAGGACGAGGTCATGTACAAACAAAAAGAAAAGAAAGTTAGATTTTTGGCTCAATGTAGGATTTCATCTTACAATGGTAAATGAGCATGGATTCTAATTTCTACAACAGAAAAGATAAAAGTCATTAGCTAAGAGGAAAACAAGCACATGAGAAATCAGATCATGTACAAAAAATTTACGTATTTTTAGTTCAATGTAGAGCACTTATCTTACAGATTTCAAGTGTAGTAAGTGTGTAAGCATGAACTTTGCAAACAGAAAAGATCAAATCTTCAGTTCAGAAGAAAGAAACGACACACTGCAGATCAGGAATGGCTTGGCATGGTTTCTAGTTGTGCTAATCTAGTCAAACAACCAGTCAACCACAACCAGTTTAAATGCAAATGTTGATACAGAGTAAAGTGATTACCGTCTGGAGGGAGCAAGAAACTGGCCAGAACAGAAGCTAGGGCTGTGATAGTGTAAAGTTAGTTGCTTTATTCATTGCAGCATTTATATGTTTCAGTTTGGGGTGTCAAAAGCAGGGGAGTTAATTTATTTGTTCAGTGATCCATAACTGTGACCTGCACACTCTACACATCCTACTTACTACCACAGTACCACAGATAAAGCTTATACATGCTCCTCTACAACAACATTGGTACTAAATTTGTGCAAGATTATTCCTTTGACATTATACAGTTAACTACTCGTTCAGATAACAGTTAAAGCACAGAAAATGACAGAGAGAGAAAAAAAAAAGAGAAGGCTGAATTGCTCCAATTGGTTCTTTGGAGGTTGCAAGGGCCAACCGACCATAAACACTATTGGTAAGTAAGAGCATTGTTAAGCACCCATGATTCATCCAGCTATTACTATCAACATACAGACAAATTCACAGATGTCAGGACAAGTTGTGGGCACAATTCTTGTGAGAGGAAATAATAAGGCTACCACTGTTTTCTCGCAAGCTTGTCTTCCATCTTTAGCAGTGTCACCATCTGGCATTAATTGGGAGCTGATCAATGGGGAGATAATCTGCCAAAACACCTACCTAATACCCTCAAGAAGGCTACAAAATAAGGGAATGTGCAAGAGGCAGAAGCAAATCCAAAGTAAAAGTGATGATTCTAGGACCATTTGGAGCCCCCACTGGTTGCCTACTAATGACGAATTAAAGCTATGGCCAGGGCTAATTGCGCACGAGATGGAATTTTGATTTGGACAATAAGGGTTAGTTGGTTAGGTGTCTCGAGCAAATTTGACAAATCGAAAACCAATTTAATTTGCAATAAATTCACTCTATTTAATATGGCACCTCTTTAGTTTTCACCTAATTGTAATGAAGGACTCATGAGAGAGAAATGCAATAAAATCTGCAAGAATTTCACCTAGAACATCTTCTGAATTCTTGCAAGCAATATGCTTTTGATTTTATTTTTTTTAAGTTGAGACAAAACAGTTGTTTCTAAAAAAAAGTATTTATAAAAGGGATTTATAGGAAACTTAGGATTCCTCAAGAGTGGTCTTGTGCCATCCATTTCATCTAGAAATTCAAGCATTAACCAAGAAGAAACAAAATGAAAGAATGTTGAAAGCATGGTAGTAGGCCAAAGAAATCAATGTGTTGTTGTTTGTTGATCTGATTGGATTGGACCGTTGTATCCTCCTTGGCTAGATGTTACTACCACAGTAGTAGTACTGACAAATTGAAAGCAGTGTGGGGGTATACTATACTATACTACTCCTATACCACAAGTATACTGAAACATGGATCTGTGTTGCTGGGTGTTACTATCTTTCAGGTAACTAATATAGCAAGTTCTCAATTACTGACCATTTTGTTTTTTTTTCCTTAGGTGGTAATTTTCATGGAAGTGAATGTTCCAAGGGATATGGGCTGAGAAGCAGGTAAAAACAATCATGAAGTAATCAAAGGAGGAATGATGAAGAAGAAATGGCATCTCTGGAAAATCTGTACTGAAGAAGTTACTTTGTTTACCTCTCTTGAGTAGGAGGAAACAATCCATAAACCCCCAAAAGTACTCTGGATAATAGCATATTTCAACTAATTATAAAAAAGAAACATTTGAAGAGGAAAAAAAACAGAATCAAATCTTCATATCTGGGAGCAGACTAGCAGTAAGTAGAATCCCCCTAAATACATTATTGGACCATACAACAATCAGTACAATAATGCTGCCATTGAAGATTCAAGAACTAGGTAGATGTTTCAATCAAGAACACAAATTTCACCCACTAACCACAATCCATACAAAATCCACAAAAGTAGTTTCACTCACCATATCAGAGGCAACATTTAACCCCAACCTAGCAGATTATCTATCCATACTAACTAAATCCCAACTGGTGAATCAAAAGAAAGAACTAAGCAAACTGACAATCAATCCTTACCCTGAGAGCACATCCTCTACCAACTTCCCTACAAGACAAGAAATCTAACAGAAAGATCTATTGCAGAAAAACAGACTAGCAGATATAGGAGAGACAAAATCTGACCAAAAACACCCAACATGTAGAGCCATACAGACCAAGAAACATGAACACAAAAAACATAGTAACAAAGCAACCCACAGAACAGCTTTCTTCAGAGCACAACACACATGGCACCTGCTGCATTACATCATAAGCTCTACACTACTGAAACTGCTCAAGAAACTGAAGGTAGTAGGATTCACTTACAGAAACGCCACTGCACCATCCTGCTGCTCTGTTCTTGGACCTCCCTGGAGCTCAAAACCCCAAATGATTTTAAGAACAAGAACAAGAAGAAGAAGAAGTCCCAAGAACACGAGCAGTGGTTAGTACTAGCAGTAGTAGTACCTAGCTAGAGAAAGGCAAGGACAGTGAGATGTGAGCTGAAAGATTCTTGTGAGCCTCCCACTGAGAGAGAGAAATACAGAGAAGACTCTCTGTATATGGAGGCAGTGGTGAGCAAGCTCAAGTAAAGGAGGTGGGGGACAAGGAGCAGCGAGAAATTAGGGCACGCGAGGGTGGTGGTGGTGGAAAAGACGGGAGGAGGAGAGGAAAAGGGCTGGGTGGAAAGGAGAGGCCTCTGTATTTATAGACAGAGAAAGAAACAAAGAAGCAGAGAAAGAAAGAGATGGAGAGAGCTAGACTAGTCACTGCAGCTGCAGCAGCTGCAGCAAACAGTGCATGCATTGCAATGCAATGCAATGCAAAGAAAGCACCATGGCCACACCCACACATACAGCTGCTGCTGCTGCTGCTGCTAAGCTTGAATGCACATGGACTCATGGAGATGGAGATGCTGGAGATGTGCATGGTGCATTGGTGCCATGGTCCATGCAGCAATGGATGTGAGGTGAGAGGTGAAGGCTTTGCATTTGCTTTTGCTTCTCTTGGAGATGACTGACTTCACTTCACAGTGTGGGTGTGATCAGAGATGGCACTGTTGGAGAGGGAGATGGGAGGCAAATGAATATCAATATCAAATATAATTTTCTGAATGTTTGTATATGCATTTTCTTGCAGCATGCATGCATGCATGGACAGGGGAGATGATCCATACTCTAGGTGAGTCCAGATGAGATGAGATGGTTGCCTCTTGTTGCCAATTTTTATTTCTTTACACTGTGCTGGTACAATGGCCGTGCATGGATGAGCCATCATCTGCATTATTTTTTTTGCTGCTGCTGTAGCACAAAACTGTGCTAGGAATTTTCTTGAGAAGATGCATGGTGAAATGGAATCTACTCCCACCAATCTGGCTGCCACCCAGCCCAGATCACAGTACAATGTTTGTAAAAAAATCTCCAATTCTCCACTGCTCAACAAGCCAGATGCATGAGAGTCGTCGTCCGATCGCAATCCAACGGCTTAGTAGTAAAACCATGTAAAATTTTATATCCTCTCATCGTCTACATGTTAACTTACTGAGCTTAGCCAAAATTTGAATTTAAAAGGTTATATTTTAAGTTGATTTTAAGATTTTTTTTCTTCTTAATCTATTTTCTAGTATCGTCTTTCAAAATCGCTAATAACACTAATATAGAAGTTTGAACATAAATTATTTTTGTCTGATTCATTCATAGTAGTCAATGAAGACTGAGACTTAATTGATTGTATTAAAATAATACTACATTTCACATGAAAACTCCTCCCTCCATTCTAAAATACAACGATTTATAGGTTGTTTAGCAAATACTAAATTTAGGTCCAAATATTCCCTTTTAATCACTTCGGTTATCAATTTTTAAATTTTGAATTGTTTGAATTTCACTTTCAATCATCTGATTGGCTTTGGAATCATTAAAATGATTGTAATCATGAGAATCAGTTTTGGAATGCTTACATTTAATATAAAATTTGAATCCTAAAAATCTTTACGTTTTAAAAGTGAGGGGAATAATAAATAAGCCTTTTTCTTTTGAGAGAGAAATAAAGAAAGAGTCTCATCGTTTGCTCATATCCTCTAATATATCAAAACGGCTTAATAGTAAATAAAAATAAATTTATAGGTAAAACTTTTATATTTATGTTCTTGGTGATTTAAAAGTCAATGCTAAAAAGAAATTACGTTGAAAATATCTTTAAATCAATCTTAAAATTAAGTTTAAAATTTAACTTTTAACTCTTTTTGTGGCTGATTAGGGCATCCGATTGGGGGGGGGGGGGGGGCAAAAAAACTGATTGAATGGGGGCAAAGGTGGCGGGAGATCAATCAATCAGAGGAGAGATTCTGGAAATGGTGGTGTGGACATGCATCTGCATCTGCATCCTGCATGCGTCCGTTGCGTCTTGTCATGGCAGCCTCTGCCTCTACCTGCATGCCTGCCTTTGCCTCTCTGTTCGTTTCTTCATTTCTTGGCCAGTAAAAAAAAACGCAGGGAAGAAACAAAACAAAAAAACAAACCAACGTGCTTGCATTGTGTGCCTTTCTCATCAGTAGGAGTATACTAGTACAGCTACTGTATGAATACATGAAAGCTACAACCCCTGACCAAAAGTAGGAACAGTTATTAGACTTGATCTGTAACCAGAAAAAGAAGAAGAAAACTGAAACTAAAATAGTTTCTGAAGAATTAAGGCAGTCTACTTGTAAGAAAGACAAGAATTCAGTAAACATGGTGAATTTGAGGTTTAGTTTAGTACTCCTACAAGAAGATCATGGCTAACTGGTGATGAAGAAAAACAAAAGTCGGGTCATTTTTGTAGCTGACGACTGAACTGGACCTCAAAGAAAGCTGGAGCACACAACAAACTGTTTATCTTTTCACAAACCAGAGAAATTAAAGGTAGTTCTAGTACTAATTCAGAAACCAACAGAGGTCAGATTGGTGCTTCCAGAAGAAAGCCCTTGAAGCTGAAGCACAATAAACAGTAATCTTTTCTTCACAAACCTGAAAATCAAAGTTAATTTGCTACTAGTACTGATTCAGAAGCAAACAAGGTTATCTTGGTCCTTCCAAAAGATTGCCATACATTCAAAATCTTCTCATGCGAAGTTTATAACTGAACCATCAAAACAAATCCCCCCAAAAGAAAAAAAAAATCTCTCTCTGTGGGCAGGACAGTCTGCAAAATGACCTTGCCCATGCATGCAAATGCAATGGCAATTGCAGGAGGTCATCAGTTTGGTCCCTCCCTACCCCAACACAAGGTGACAAAACAAATGATGGGATCTCTTAGACATCACTGTTTGCAACTATAGCTCCTCCTGCATTATTATTGAAGGGAAGGGACCTCACAACCTCTCTTCTCTTTTTTTTTTCTCTCTTGTACTGTGCTTTGTACTACTGTGTGCATTATGTTGTTGCATTTGTCTTAGTGTGGGTACTGTCTACTCCTACTCCACTATAGTTTAGGTGACCAAATATGCTGGTTAATTAGGTGGCGTTTGGATCAGGGACTCTGTATTTAGACACTAATTTAGAGTATTAAATATAGACTACTTACAAAACTAATTACATAAATGAAATGAAAGCTAATTCGCGAGACAATTTTTTAAGCCTAATTAATCCATAATTAGAGAATGTTTACTGTAGCATCACATAGACTAATCATGGATTAATTAGGCTCAATAGATTCGTCTCGTGAATTAGTCCAAGATTATGGATGGGTTTTATTAATAGTCTACGTTTAATATTTATTATTAGTGTCTAAACATCCGATGTGATAGGGACTTAAAAGTTTTAGTCCCATCTAAACAGGGTCTTAGCGTTCTGTGATCATCTTGCTTTAGGTCCAAATCATAAATGAGCCGAATGCATGTGTGTACTCATGTTTACAGGTAGAGAGATGGGGCCAAAAGCTAGGATGGTGTAGTTGTGTACGTGTGGTCACCAACCGGGAGATATGCAAAGAACCATCGAGTGTGCCTGTACTGTGTGTACTATACATTGCCTTAGCTCTCTTCACTTCACACCATATATATCGATGACTTTGCATAACCGTGTAGTAAATGTGATACTAATAAGTTAGTGGTGGTCAACTAGCTAGGTTAGCCTGTACTCCTTCCGTTTCAAAATAACTTTCTTTTCAAATTTATTATACTACCTCCATCCCAAAATAATTGTAGTTGTGAGGATCTGTGTCCAACGTTTGACCGTTCGTCTTATTTGAAAAATTTATGAAAAAACTAATAAAATAGTCACCCATAAAGTACTATTTATGTTTTATCATCTAATAACAATAAAAATACTAATCACAAAAAAAATTTAAATAAGACGAACGGTCAAACGTTGGACATGAATAATGCAAAACTGCATTATTTTGGGATGGAGTAAGTACAGAATATATCACATTCTGTATGAGATTGGTTTATTTGGGATAGAGTAAGTAGTTGGTTGTACATTCTGTTATTTCTGTTTAATTTCCACTAGGAGTTCAGTTACTCATGTCTATCCCAAAATAAATCAATTGACAATCTATGAACAAAAGTTGATTTATTTTGAAACTGAGGGATTATAAAAAATGGCTTGCATGAAATATATTGATGTAGGCGTGTTTGGAGGGAAGTTCTATTAAGCTTAATTATGTGAGAAGTTCGTGAAATTTTTGTTTTCTTAGCAGTGGCCTCTCTGATTTAAACGGCTGATAGGACTATAGTTCCCGCATTTCATATTGATCTACGATTAAGCTCCATGTGCAAATGTAGGAAACTCACGACATCCCCGTAGTAAATTCGTGTGAAGGCATGCATCCTTTGAAACAGAGGAATTAGAACAAATTATTTAGAAACTGAGCTCAATTATTTATGTGAAAATCCTACAAACTTTCTGTGTTTCAAAAGAGCCCCAAGCAATCTAGCTTTCGTAGAAACGACAAGGGCATTTTGCATTTTCTTCATGTACACATACCATAGGTGATTGCGTGAATTTTCCGTAGCTCAATCGAGTTGATCAGTTGCCCCTTTCTTAATTCCCAAACACTCTGCATGTACCTCTTGTATACCAATGTTTGCAATAATATGATGGTGGTTTTGAAGATAAATTAAGATGAAGATGAAAATGAAGATTATTTTTTTCGTTTGTTTTTACTTTTCTTTTCTGTTGCAAACCCCGGATTTTCACCACGAAAACAGTGATGTAAAACCTGCTTTTGTGCTACATAATGGTGGTGCCAGTTTCCACAAGACCAATTCTAGAGCTTAGCTCTGCATGCATGTAGGCAGGCGAGACTAGAGACTGCAATAGGCAAAGTCTGCGGCGCCTCTCCGACAAGGGCGGATATACAGTGTTAGGGTCAGTGTTAGGCGACACCGACAACTTTCGGTAAAATCTGTAGCAAAATTGCTTATCCATATGTTATAACACCATGATCTAAGTATAATTAGCATACTATGACACCGATAGACACGTTGACACTAACGAATCGATTTTCTAGATCCGTCACTGCTCTCCGACCTCTGCTGCTGCTGCTTCTTCTTCTTTGATCGGATCCTTCTCTTCCGCACTGTTTAGTTCACACCGAACTTCTCCCAAACTCCCAACTTTCCATCACATCACATCCAAAACTTTCCTACTCACATAAAGTCCTAACTTTTTTTCCAAAGTACAAACTTTCCCCAAACTTCTCCCCAATTTCAGGAACTAAACACAGCCTTGCTCGAAAAAGATC